TATTATTATTATTATTATTATTATTATTACAGAGCAAATTTCAAGGTCGCAAATCTAGGATTCCAAACAGGGTTGCCTTTCCAGGATGATTCATTTGGCTACATCTGTGTCATTGTTGCTCTCTTTTTATGCACAGCGGTGGGTGATTAATTCTGCGTGAGCCCAGCCTTAATGCTGGGTTTTCTTAAATAATGTATACATTTGCGCTTGAATTTCAGCATTGACGTCTGGGAATGCTGCTCTGGCTTTGTGAAGCAACGTGGCAAGACAGGATGTACAGGAGGTGAGGCTGCTCTTACGAAAAGTTTTGAGAAAGTCAGCACGTCTCGCTTTTTTACCGCTTCCATCCTTCAACTGTTTACACTGTAGATGTAACCACTTCTGCTACGTTATCAATGAAACTTAGAAGGCCCTTCTTGCATTGTGTTTCTTTCAACAATACATGTGGTAATGATACGCCCAAATCTCTAAACATGAGAATGTTAACGTCGTTTTTGTCGTCGTTTTTGTCGTCGTTTTGTCGTCGTTTTTGTCGTCGTTGTCGTTGCTCTTATTGTCGGTTGTTTTTGGGGTTGTTGTTGTTTTGTTTTTTTAACAACAAGCATTGTTGAGGCAGGATTTAGAGCAGGCAGGACACATAACTCTCACATAACACGTAGACGATAATAACTGAGCAAATACAATTGTGTGTTTCTTAAAGACCCATAGACGTTAGTAAAAGGTTTGATTATCTTTTATTTTATCTACGTGGCAACCTTTAAAAAAATCTGCTTGGTGCAATTTCAGAACGGTCTAAAGAAGTTTAAATACTTTGACGTTTACATACAGGTTTTTTTATCGGATACAACGCTGTAGAATGGGTTCTCCGTTCTATGAAGGCCAGGATATTATGACTCTTGTGCTCTGTAAAATCTAAGGCATCGTGTTTAATCTTCCGGCAATTCGTCTTTGATTATGGACATGCTTGATACTTGAGCCTGCCCGTATTGCCTTAAGATAAGACGTTTTGGTTTTATGGACATCACCGTCACTAGCACATCATTCACAAACCTTCACTTCGGCACTTATGTGGGGAGAAAACACTTACATTACCTGCGGGCTGATCGAGAGACCAGACGAATCATGAGAAGGCGAATGGCCAGAGAGGTTTTCTTTGCTGCGTAAAACTATGGCAGGTGATTTACTGTGTTTCGTTTTGTTTGAGGGTATTATAGCCAGCGTATACCATGCCAAAGTTGAGCCAAACTTACCTTTAAAAAATAACGGGGTTTTTTCCTTCCTAGAAAAAAAAGCTCGATTAGAAGTAAACGAACAAGATCATGGAGAAAAGAAAGGGGTTTTCTTCATTAAATGGAAATCCTCATCTTGCTTTCTTCTTCTTCCCCTGCGAAATGATAACATTAGCTTATTTATTATCTGGGAGGCATGCCATTTCTTGGTATGGTCTCTCTATGTACTTGTGAGACGAAAGGTATAATTTCGTTAATGAGTCACACTTTTTGCACATCTAATTATCTAACAAAGTCTACGACAAAGGAAGGGTTTTATTTAGGAGAAGATTGAGAATGGCGCCTTCATTGAGTTACACACCGTGCTGGTTTTGTCAATAATTAGTTCAGATGGTTGTTTGTTCACGAAATCTTTACGCTCGTTTCTTTATCTTTTTTGTCCCCTCAAGATAAAAGAGAGGGGTGCAATAAGGAGAATGAGGGTTATTCACTGTGTAGTCAGCATATTATTATTCCTTTAGTATATTTTCAAGTTAAGAAAGTTACTTATTGTTTCATTTGTAGTGATTTGTAGCATGAGCAAATTTGTTTTATACAGTGACAAAACACAGTTGATAAAAAACCTGCAATTTCTCTGCCATGTTGAAAGGCCAAAGGGCTAGAACCCAGATGGCCACTGGATCGGAAAAGTAAAGTAAACTAAAGTGGTAGCTTTGTAAAATAACATTGGAGATGGCAGCTAATCAAAATGGAACTCGATAACCTATCCATTATTGCCATTTTATGTAGGTATTATAGTAGAGGGTTTTACGGGCTTGCAACTGCAAAAGGTCATATGAGCGCTATGTATGTATTTTTTTTTAAACTGACCTTGGAGTAACCCCCCCCCCCCCAAACACACACTCATTTTTTATAACCCCTCACCGTTCTCGCCTTGTGATAGTATTCTGTTCCTGGATAACACATTGAGCCCACTTTGTAAGATGTTAATGTAGATTTCAGATGTCTCGCTGTACCTCTCAGATCAATTTGTGGATGATGTTTATACATGTGTAGTAGAACCCCGCCGCCTACCGTCAATCTTTTTCTTTTTTTTTTAATAGTAAGGGTTTTACGGAGCTCGCAACTGCTTAACTTTAAGGTCATATGAGCGCACGGAATACATTAAACTTTTTCAGTTGGTAGGAAATTTTGAATTTTTGCCCCTGTGGCGGCCGAAGCCTTCCCTTATTGATTTTAGACCACCAAGAGATCTTTAATGTGTGCAACTTGCATACAGGCCCTCCGAGACCCTCAATATTAAGGTTGCGCTTGAGTTTAATTTAGTTTAATCTTTAGTTTAATTTATTTTTTAGAAAGAGTTTTACAATACTTGCAACATAAGTAGGTTATACAATGCCAACGAAATTTTATGACATGGGACGAGCGTTCCATTTCCTACTTTGGTTCCCATGTGTGGAATAAACTCCCATTAGAGGGTGGTTGGCGGGTGGTCTGGTGGGGTTTGCTTCTTCTTTCCAATCAAACATCTATCGTCCCTATCTCCCCTTTTTCTTTTTTATGTTTGTTACTCTCAGGTAACACCTCTAATCTTCTGGCGCTCAAATTACCTTAAGCAGTTGCGAGCGCCATAAAACCTCTACTAGAACGTACAAAACTCCCGTGTAATGGGCATTGAGCATATTTCAGAAAATGAAAATGCGCAGCATAAATGCTATTTATAATAAGTGCTGAAGAGAAGGTGTTACGAGAAGGGAACATGAAAAGAAGAAAAATGGGGAGAGATAAAGCCTATAATTACTTGCTAGGAAAGAAAGGAGCAAACAACACCAGAGCACTCGCCAACAAACCACCCACACCTTTGTTTTCTCGTTCAGAAAAACCACTTGGGAACATCGTGGAAACGGCACGAGACCTGCGCCTGAACGGATTCGTGCAGATGACCGGAACCACTGGTCAAAGAGATGACCTCTCCAACCATGGGGCATACACAGTGTTCGCACCAACGGACGAAGCTATGTGGGACGCGTCGCCCAAGAAACTGTACGTAATTTTGTTCACTCACGCAAGTAATTCTTCCATTAAGTCGTTCAGTCACTCATTCCTTTTTTTTTTTTTTTTGGT